TGCAATTTCAGTTTAATCCACCAGAAAAGACAGAACAAATATTACAACAAATATTATGGTTAAACTCAAATATATATATTTTAGAGTAAAAAACAAAAACGGTATAATCTTTGTAAATTACATCATAAATAGGACTGGTGGGGCTGTCACACAGAAATACACTACTGCCAAGGCACACCTGCATTCCAGGTGATTACCTCATAAAGCTGGTTGAGAGAATGCCAAGAGTGTGCAAAGCTGTCATCAAGGCAAAGGGTGGCTACTTTGAAGAATCTCAAATATAAAATATATTTTGATTTGATTAACACGTTTTTGGTTACTACATGATTCCATGTGTCATTTCATAGTTTATGAACTGATAAAATAGTTGGGAAGAGACCTTCGATGTGTTGATTCCATGGCACATGGCTTATGAACTGATACACAAAACAACATTATTGCAACCAATTGAATAATTGTATATATATACATACAGTGAGGGAAAAAAGTATTTGAGCCCCTGCTGATTTTGTACGTTTGCCCACTGACAAAGACATGATCAGTCTATAATTTTAATGGTAGGTTTATTTGAACAGTGAGAGACAGAATAACAACAAAACAATCCAGAAAAACGCATGTAACTTGGGGTCATAGGCAGCATTCCTCCTCCTCCAAACACGGCGAGTTCAGTTGATGCCAAAGAGCTCGATTTTGGTCTCATCTGACCACAACACTTTCACCCAGTTCTCCTCTGAATCATTCAGATGTTCATTGGCAAACTTCAGACGGGCCTGTATATGTGCTTTCTTGAGCAGGGGGACCTTGCGTGCGCTGCAGGATTTCAGTCCTTCACGGCGTAGTGTGTTACCAATTGTTTTCTTGGTGACTATGGTCCCAGCTGCCTTGAGATCATTGACAAGATCCTCCCGTGTAGTTCTGGGCAGATTCCTCACCGTTCTCATGATCATTGCAACTCCACGAGATGAATCTTGCATGGAGCCCCAGGCAGAGGGAGATTGACAGTTATTTTGTGTTTCTTCCATTTGCGAATAATCGCACCAACTGTTGTCACCTTCTCACCAAGCTGCTTGGCGATGGTCTTGTAGCCCATTCCAGCCTTGTGTAGGTCTACAATCTTGTCCCTGACATCCTTGGAGAGCTCTTTGGTCTTGGCCATGGTGGAGAGTTTGGAATCTGATTGATTGATTGCTTCTGTGGACAGGTGTCTTTTATACAGGTAACAAACTGAGATTAGGAGCACTCCCTTTAAGAGTGTGCTCCTAATCTCAGCTCGTTACCTGTATAAAAGACACCTGGGAGCCAGAAATCTTTCTGATTGAGAGGGGGTCAAATACTTATTTCCCTCATTAAAATGCAAATCAATTTATAACATTTTTGACATGTGTTTTTCTGGATTTTTGTTGTTGTTATTCTGTCTCTCACTGTTCAAATAAACCTACCATTAAAATTATAGACTGATCATGTCTGTCAGTGGGCAAACGGACAAAATCAGCAGGGGATCAAATACTTTTCTCCCCTCACTGTATGTATGTACATATGGATACAACCATCCCAGCTCTGAAGATTTTGCTATGAAGAAACCGAATAATTTAAATCACTTGTTTTGGTACTGCCCATATGTATACTGAACAAAAATATACTGAACTAAAATAAAACGCAACATGCAACAATTTCATTGATTTTACTGAGTTAGAGTTCATATGAGGAAATCAGTCAAGTGAAATACATTCATTCGGCCCTAATCTATGGATTTCATGACTGGGAATACAGATATGCATCTGTTGGTCACAGATACCGAAAAAAAAAAAAAATGGGCCTCAGGATCTCGTCACTGTATTTTTGTGCAATCAAATTGCCATAGATAAAATGCAATTGTGTTCGTTATCCGTAGCTTATGCCTGCCCATACCATAACCCCACCGCCACCACAGGGCACTTTGTTCACAACATTGACATCAGCAAACCGCTCTCCCACACAACGCCATACACCTGGTCTGCGGTTGTGAGGCCGGTTGGACGTAAAACAAATTATGGTCGAGAAATGAACATTCAATTCTCTGGCAACAGCTCTGGTGGACATTCCTGCAGTCAGCATGCCAATTGCACGCTCCCTCAAAACTTGAGACATCTGTGGCATTGTGTTGTGTGACAAAACTGCACATTTTAGTGTGGCCTTTTATTGTCCCCAGCACAAGGTGCACCTGTGTAATGATGATGTTTAATCAGCTTCTTGATATGCCACACCTGTCAGGTGGATGAAATATCTTGGCGAAGGAGAAATGCTCACTAACAGGGATGGAAACAAATTTGTGCACAAAATTTGATAGAAATAAGCTTTTTGTGTGTATGGAACATTTCAGCTCATAAAACATGGGACCAACACTTTACATGTGTTTATATTTTTGTTCAGTGTACAAAAAATATATGGGGGATTGGAAATGATGCAGATAATCAATGGCATTGATAGAAGCCACAATATATCTGCAATATTAAAGCTGATCTACTCCCAAATTAAAAAAAAAACAAAAAAAACATTCTGAATGTCCTTTGGGTGGTGGACCATTCTTGATACACACGGCAAACTGTTGAGCGTGAAAAACCCAGCAGAGTTGCAGTATTTGACACAGACTGATGCGCCTGGCACCTACTACCATACCCTGTTCAAAGGCACTTCAATATTTTGTCTTGCCCATTCACCCTCTGAATGGCACACATACATAATCCTTATTTAACCCGTCTCCTCCCCTTCACCTACACTGATTGAAGTGGATTTAACAAGTGACATCAATAAGGGATCATAGCTTTCACCTGGTCAGTCTGTCATGAAAGAGCTATGTGTTCTTAATGTTTTGTATCGTTCTTTTTTGTAAAGGGGGGGGTGTGGTAATTTTTTTTTTTATATACTCTTGGGTTTCCAAATGTTTTTTTAACTGCACTGTTTTGTCTTTCATTTGTCTTGTTTATGTTAATAAATACTCCAAACTAGTCCAAGATCTTCATGGTGTCACCATCCCAGTCTCCTGTGCTTCTAATCCTACATATTCTGAAATCAGTCAGCTAAACACTACTGGCATAAAATTATAATCTGGACCCCCCCCCCCCCCCCAAGCCAGGTCAATAGCTTTTTATTTGATTTGATTCCTTCCCTTTAAAAATCAGGGACTGACTTAAGACCTGGGAAACCAGGTGGGTACAATTATTTATCATCAGGTGGAACAGGAAAAACATCAGTAGTCCGGATCTCGTAGGCGTAGGGTAAAGATTTAAATACCCCTGTACTACACTGTATCACGCTGCCTTCACTGTGCACGATACCACCATCAGGGAGCTAGTGGACAGGCAACTCAATGCCAGTGTTGGTTAGAACCTCAATATTGCCAAAGTGTAGAGGAGAAAGAATCACATTAGTAATAGCCAAATAGAAAAGCCAACTCCTGTATGTTAAAAGTATATGTTGTTATTTAATAACGCAAGAGCTGTACAGTACAAGTCAGAATGACATCATCACAAGGGGACAGAGACTGGGCAGCAGTAGCTACTTTATGGCTGTGTCCAAAAAATTACACCTTATTCTGTATTTAGTGCACTATTTTTTGACCAGGGCCCATAGGGTGCCATTTGGGAGGCAGAATGTATCTGAAGACACCAATGACTGGTGAAAGGGGAAGGAGGTCAGAGAGGAAACGCATCTCAATGATCGACGGCCGCCATTTAATTTTCCAGACGATTATACATGATTGACAGTTCTTTCTCCGGACGATTCTACATGTTGAATCGTAAACCTTTGTCAACGCCCAGCAGGTGATCTAGTATGCATGGCTGAAGGTACGGTTGGTTTGGTCTGTCTGCGCTATGAGAAGAGATTGTAAGTCGCTCTGGATAAGAGCGTCTGCTAAATGACTAAAAAATTTTTAAAAAAAAAAATTGGGCATGGAATTGTTAAATCAGCCAGAAACTGGCTTTGTCAGATATGTTCTCCATCCAGATATTCTGAATGGGAGTGTTCAGTTTTACAATACAAAGTCACATTTTATCAACAGCTCTCGTTGATTGAGATAAGACAAAGGTAAACGTTAATAGAATGTTAGGCTAAGGCTAAATGCTAGGCTAAATGCTAGGCTAAGGCTAAAGCCACATGCTAGGCAAAATGCTAAGGCTAAATGCTAAGGCTAAGGCTAAGTGTAAAACATAAAACCACAACAAAATAATAAGTATACAAAACACAAATTCCGAACCCCAAAGAGCACTCTATTCCCTATTTAGTGCACTACTTTTGACGAGGGGCCCATAGGGCTCTGGTAAAAAGTAGTGCACTATATAAGGAATAGGGTGCATTTGGAACGCACACAAACGAAAGCAGTAAATATGCAGAGGAGAAAATACTTGGTGGATTAAGTTACCCCCCCCTCCCCATCAAAATCCATCAGTTTAAACTAGAGATATCCGTTTTCTTCCATTGAACCACAATCCACCGCATCTGCCGATGTTGCACTTCCACATCTGCGGTGAAAGGTGACAGCTGGAGCGGTGTTCGTCAGACCATGAGACATCCTGAAAATCAAGTCTTCTCGCGAAAAACGTCTGTAGCGTCCGAACGGTTTGGCCTGCAAACTATTATGATAAAAGATGACTCTCACGATGGTGTTCTCGGTTTTGCTCTACGACCCCCACAAGCATCGAACCCGGTACCAGTTGCGAAAAATGCATGGAAGTATATATGGAGATAGTTTAGTGCCGAAAATAAGGGGTCAAATACATAAACAAATAATACAAAAACAAAAAAATCTTTCTTATATCTCTCAGATATAGAACAGACACTTCAGAACAAACTTCCTTTAGATCGTTTTATTACTATCTGTTATTCAATGCTTTTGTATGGGGCTAATGGAAGTAAGGCCAAATTCACCGTTTCATCAAATCATTTAAAATATATATTTTTTTATACTTCAAGGGGTCTTAAAATTCAAAATCAAATAGCTAAAATGTCCTTGGTATGACCTTCTGAAAACAATTTCATATGTCAGCTTAGTAGAACCCCACATCGCCCCCCCGTCTTAGACAGGGGCTGAGGCTGTAGAAGGTTAAATTACCTTAAAGAATAAATATTAGTTAGAAATACAGGCTAACTACATACGTTAACCTAAGTCATTATATAATATTCAATATTCCATGTCCAGGCACATCTTTTGGTGATTCTGTCTGCGTCTCAAATGGCACCCTATTTCCTAGATAGTGCACATGTGACTGACTGACCTACACAATAATATTGAGTCGTTAATTATTAATGATCCAAGGTGATTTGTAGATCAGTCAGTCTCGACTCGCCTTTAAAGGTCGGCTGCAATGTGGAACGCACCCATTGCGAAACGAGACACCAGACAGAGCATTTTGGGTATTCATGACGGCTGCCCTCAGGAGGGTGACTCAGCTTCATCCTGGTCACTGATGGCAGATACTGCCAATAACGATACAAACCCCAGAGACTGAAAAGGCTGCCATTCAGTCAGTTCCTAAAAACCACTATGAACGGATCAATAAAGTTATTTGAATGGACGAGGAAAACAACAAATGGCTCACAGAGAGCGAATCGGTCCACTGGCTCATACTGAGAGTTGATTGGCCCGCTGGCTCACACTGAAAGCTGATTGGCCATGATGCACAGCATGTCATCATCAGGGGGTTGGATCTGGGCTGGATGGATCGTCCTCTATGTAGGTTCAGGACGAGTTAGGGACAAGGGGGGACGAGTTAGGGACTAGGGGGGACGAGTTAGGGACTAGGGGGGACGAGTTAGGGACTAGGGGGGACGAGTTAGGGACTAGGGGGGACGAGTTAGGGACTAGGGGGGACGAGTTAGGGACTAGGGGGGACGAGTTAGGGACTAGGGGGGACGAGTTAGGGACTAGGGGGGACGAGTTAGGGACTAGGGGGGACGAGTTAGGGACTAGGGGGGACGAGTTAGGGACTAGGGTGTGACCCCCTCTTGGTCCATACTAACGCCCAGAGCCTCTATATCATTACTGATATCAGAGATCATGCGGTCCCACTCGTCTCCTTCGGAGGGCGCCAACCCTTCGTCAGACCCGCCTCCGTCCCCTCCCGCCGCCCCGTTCCCATTGGTGGTTGAGTCGGAGGCGGAGCTGGCGGTGCGGCGGTAGCGTCCGAAGCTGTCGGTGATGATGCCACGGCCGTCCTTAACGCCGATGGTCTCCAGGAAGTTCTCAAAGTGTTGGCTGTCCTTCTCTGGGATGAACGGCCTCAGACCTGGATGGACATGGGATCGGACGGGGAAAAAGGACAATGCACAGACAGTCTGAATCACAGAGCCAGGGCTCTACGCTGACCTATTTTTAAAGTTGAAAAATGTAGGCGCACACAACGAAATTTAGGAGCACAATGAAAAATATGAAGTTATAAAGCTAGAATCCTTAATTTTTCTAGGCTCACTGGTGCGCCCAAATAAATATTCCAAGTCACACACCAAATATTTAGGCGCATGTGCGAGTAAAATGGTCGCCCTGTAGAACCCTGACAGCATATGCTTGTGTGAACTGAAATAGCGGAGACTCATTTCACAGTCAAGCTGAAACAGCAGGGTCCTGATCAATAAGGCACAACGTAGCAAAAATAGGGATTGGGAAACACAAAATAAGCATTCTCATTGGTCAAGCTCAGGTAAAAACCTCCCGTTCGTTTTCACTCCATTTCCTGCTGCTCGGCTTGACCTCTAAACACAGCCCCATGTTTGACCTTTCACCCTGTGACCCCAGACAGGAAGTAGTTCTCACCCAGTAGGAGGAACTTCCTGCTGTCCCCGTAGAGCTGACGGAGGTTGATACAGAACTCATGGACGGACGCTCCGTTACGGTATTCGTGAAGAAGAGTAGCAAACTGCTGGATCTCCTGAGACGACAACTTGGTACGCAGCTAATAGAGGAGGAGAGAGAGACAGAGCGAGAGACACAGAGACACAGAGAGAGACACAGAGAGAGACACAGAGAGAGAGAGAGAGAGAGAGAGAGAGAGAGAGAGAGAGAGAGAGAGAGAGAGAGAGACACAGAGAGAAATGAGTGAAAACATGGAGGTGAAATGTCACAACCTGTAGGATATAGCAGTAAAGCTCTGATAGAAGAGAATGTAGTTGAGCATTGTGATTGTAAATGTTTTTAATGCATCGTGTTCTTGCGTAATGTGTACACACTGGCTACTTCCTGCTGACCTCTTTGACAGGTCCCCCTCCAAAAAGAGGTTTCTAACCTCAAGGGTCTTCTCCTGGTTAAATAAAATGAGACGGTGCTCTATAAAATATGTTGCATGCTCTTTTAAGCCAAAGCCCCAACCTCATAGTTACATGCATGCACCCACCCTACCGTGGTCATGTAGTCTTGTAGCAGCTCTGTGGCGGTGGTGCTCAGCTCTCCTTCGCTGGCCGTCTTGGTCTGAGGGGAGGCTGGGGTGGAGGAAGGGGACGGAGAGTCACCCCCTGCCTCCAGCGAACCCTGGAAAGAACTATAGGACAAACAGAACCACATCAATAGAACCCTACAGAACCTCAGAAAGCTGTCATGGTCAAAACATATGGATGCTAAAATGGGAAGAGGTCTGTCCATGATGGGGCATTGCTCTGCCTTCTTGTTGTCCCAGTCGACCAGACAGGTCCTACAGGCCCTAGTTTTGTCCCACCTGGACAACTGCCCAGATGTGTGGTCATGTGCAGCAAAGAGGAACATAGGTAAATAGCAGTTGGTCCTGAACAAAGCAGCACGTATCGCACCTACAGTGCATTCGGTAAGTATTCAGACCCCTTGACTTTTCCCACATTTTGTTACGTTACAGCCTTATTCTAAAATTGATTAAATAGTTTTTTCCCCCCATCATCAATCTACACACAATACCCCATAATGACAAAGCAAAACAAGGTTTTTAGAAATGTTTGCAAATGTATTAAAAATAAAAAACAGGTGTGCCAAGCTTGCAGCGTCATACCCAAGAAGACTCGAGGCTGTAATCGCTGCCAAAGGTGCTTCAACAAAGTACTGAGTAAAGGGTCTGAATACTTATGTAAATGTGATGTTATTTTTTTTGTGAGAAACAATTCTGAAAACATGTTTCTGTTTTGTCATTATGGGGTATTGTGTGTAGATTGATGATGGGGGGAAAAACAATTGAATCAAGTTTAGAATAAGGCTGTAACGTAACAAAATGTGGAAAAAGTAAAGGGGTCTGAATACTTTCCGAATGCACTGTAAATGCATAACACAGACATAATTCCAGCTACTTACAAGGTGCTGGCCTCTGCTTCGAAGGCTTCCTTAAGGTCCACCTTACTTGAAGAGTCGTCTTCACAATTAGAAAACATAAATGGATTCATATTAATAATAAATAAATTAACATTTTTTGTTCAACATATTCAACTGCTTTTATTTCTTGTATTTATTGCTGCTCTTAGTATGAAAAAGTGAAAACATTTTGAGCTGGGCAGAGCCTCATCACTGTAGAGAGCACAGGAGGCTGGTGCCACCTTAATTGGGGAGGACGGGCTCGTGGTAACGACTGGAGCGGAATCAGTGGAATGGTATCAAATACATCAAACACATGGTTTCCAGGTCTTTGATGCCATTCCATTTGCTCCGTTCCAGCCATTATTATGAGCCGTTCCCCACTCAGCAGCCTCCACTGGCAGAGAGAGGTGTCAGTGTCTGTGTGGGATTGATAATTGATTGATTGGTTAACTGATTGATTATTGATTGATTGGTTAACTGATTGATTGATATTGATTGATTGGTTAACTGATTGATTGATAATTGATTGATTGGTTAACTGATTGATTGATAATTGATTGATTGGTTAACTGATTGATTGATAATTGATTGATTGGTTAACTGATTGATTGATAATTGATTGATTGGTTAACTGATTGATTGATAATTGATTGATTGGTTAACTGATTGATTGATAATTGATTGATTGGTTAACTGATTGACGTCCTCACCACTGTAGAGAGAGAGGTGCCTGGTGGGGGTGGTGGCTCCGTCAAAGATGGCCCTGTCCAGGAAGTCTATAGTGGACTCAGTGTAAACGATCTGGAACACCTGGGAGAGCAGGAGACACAACTCCTCTGCTGCCGCCTGCAGACCACAGGAAACAGAGGAAGAAGTTCAAATAACATATTCCATTTGTTTTGCGTTAGTCATGAACATTCGCTGATGTTAGCTAACAGTCTGACAAGGTAGTGAGTGTTGTCTACAGCCAGTAGGAGTGTTAGTTACCTTGTTGTCTACAGCCAGTAGGGAGTGTTAGTTACCTTGTTGTCTACAGTCAGTAGGGAGTGTTAGTTACCTTGTTGTCTACAGCCAGTAGGGAGTGTTAGTTACCTTGTTGTCTACAGTCAGTAGGGAGTGTTAGTTACCTTGTTGTCTACAGCCAGTAGGAGTGTTAGTTACCTTGTTGTCTACAGTTAGTAGGGAGTGTTAGTTACCTTGTTGTCTACAGTCAGTAGGAGTGTTAGTTACCTTGTTGTCTACAGCCAGTAGGGAGTGTTAGTTACCTTGTTGTCTACAGTCAGTAGGGAGTGTTAGTTACCTTGTTATCCACAGCCAGTACTAGCAGACAGCAGACCTCTACCAGTACAGCTCCACTCTCAGACAGGTCAGGACAGGTACTGGGGCACGGGGACACACCTGCCTCCTGGGCTGGAGAACAACACAGAGAGAGAGAGAGAGAGCACACCATCAACATTACACTCATAATAATTTGGGACGTGCATATTTCCCTTTCAAGATGACTCTAATCGTATCTAGATACACGGGCTCCGATACGATACAGGAACCATTCGTTTTAGCTTGAAACGATTCGGTTTGATTAGAGGAACGAATTGATGCGATTTGGTTCGATACGAGTCGATGCACTAACATTTGTTGCATTAAAACATTACATTTTCCATTCTACATTAAAACTACTGCTGACCTGGGCCTCTCTGAGCTGGATCGGTCTGCTATATTTCCTCATGTATGTTTTCATGGAAAACAAGGACATTTCTAAGTGACCCCAAACTGTTGAACAGTAGTGTAGGTGGTTAGGTACCTGTCTTGAGCACCACCAGGTGTAGTGAGGTATTTACCTGTCTTGAGCACCACCAGGTGTAGTGAGGTATTTACCCGTCTTGAGCACCACCAGGTGTAGTGAGGTATTTACCCGTCTTGAGCACCACCAGGTGTAGTGAGGTATTTACCCGTCTTGAGCACCACCAGGTGTAGTGAGGTATTTACCCGTCTTGAGCACCACCAGGTGTAGTGAGGTATTTACCCGTCTTGAGCACCACCAGGTGTAGTGAGGTATTTACCCGTCTTGAGCACCACCAGGTGTAGTGAGGTATTTACCCGTCTTGAGCACCACCAGGTGTAGTGAGGTATTTACCCGTCTTGAGCACCACCAGGTGTAGTGAGGTATTTACCCGTCTTGAGCACCACCAGGTGTAGTGAGGTATTTACCCGTCTTGAGCACCACCAGGTGTAGTGAGGTATTTACCCGTCTTGAGCACCACCAGGTGTAGTGAGGTATTTACCCGTCTTGAGCACCACCAGGTGTAGTGAGGTATTTACCCGTCTTGAGCACCACCAGGTGTAGTGAGGTATTTACCCGTCTTGAGCACCACCAGGTGCAGTGAGGTATTTACCCGTCTTGAGCACCACCAGGTGCGGTGAGGTATTTACCCGTCTTGAGCACCACCAGGTGAGGTATTTACCCGTCTTGAGCACCACCAGGTGAGGTATTTACCCGTCTTGAGCACCACCAGGTGCGGTGAGGTATTTACCCGTCTTGAGCACCACCAGGTGCGGTGAGGTATTTACCCGTCTTGAGCACCACCAGGTGCGGTGAGGTATTTACCCGTCTTGAGCACCACCAGGTGCGGTGAGGTATTTACCCGTCTTGAGCACCACCAGGTGCAGTGAGGTATTTACCTGTCTTGAGCACCACCAGGTGCGGTGAGGTATTTACCCGTCTTGAGCACCACCAGGTGCAGTGAGGTATTTACCCGTCTTGAGCACCACCAGGTGTAGTGAGGTATTTACCTGTCTTGAGCACCACCAGGTGTAGTGAGGTATTTACCTGTCTTGAGCACCACCAGGTGTAGTGAGGTATTTACCTGTCTTGAGCACCACCAGGTGTAGTGAGGTATTTACCTGTCTTGAGCACCACCAGGTGTAGTGAGTCGTCTCGTATGTAAGACACGGCAGCGATATCGTGGATGGGAACACGCAGGATGATATCCTCTCCGTCCCGCCACACCAGCTTCACGTTATAGGCCGACAGACTGACCACCGCATCCTGCTCCGAAGTCAGCTGACCCGCCAACTGGTGGGACTTCTAGGTAACCAGAAAAATTACGTGACAGTTTCACCCATGTTGTTCCCATGGCAACACAATACATCCCATGACTCTACCGTTTATAATAATTCTAAAATTCTAAGTCTAAAATGTAGTATTTTCTTTGTAAAGTCATGGCAAAGCAAAATATCAGAGGCTTTATTAAAAATGACAAAAAATAAAAGATGACACTTTTTTATTTTACCTCTGAGTAAAATCTTGACTTTTAAAATGATTTAGTGCACTATACAGGGAGCCATTTGAGATGCGGCGAAACAGCTTACCCTGGCATTGTCGATGAGCTGTAAGACCTCCGTTCGACTGGAGGGGTTCAGGTATCCCGGTACTGACGTCAGCTGGCCCAAGTACTACAGAACACACCGGTAACCATTGGAAACACAGGTTAAACATAGACAAACCTGGGATGCGTAGCTGTCACCAACACTAGTCAGTCAAGGGCCTTGACCTCTGACCTCTCACCTTGACTTCCTTCTCTACGTAGTCATTGAGCAGGATGTCAGGGTCGATGCGGTGGTCGGGGAGGGAGAAGGTGTGGAGGGCACGGCGTTCTGTAGCCTTCTCCTGAGCCTTCTTATCCCGACCCTTCTCTCCCTTCAGAAACACACGCTTGAAGGGAGACACGATACCCGGCTGCAGGGGGGGGAGGTATCGTATTAATTCATTCACAGCAACAAAGTATCCATTACATATTAATAACATAAAGTCGACCTATAAGCTAAACCAACAAATCCGCATAGGCTAAGCCTACAAAGCCTATGTTACCCAACCACAGCATGTTCCGAAAATATTAACCATTAGCATTTAACAGCTAAAAATAAACACAAATCCAAAACACGACATTAGCTATGTGGTTTTATATGACGCTGTGAACGTTACATAGATGAATAATGATGACGTCATCAACATTTACTGTAAAAAGCTGCTGTTGTATACACACACACACACACACACACACACACACACAGTTGGCCAGTCCATGGTCTTAAGTAACTAACCACACAGACACTGATTCCGTCTAAGAAACAGAAACATCCACACTTTCCTTCCTTTCTCCAAAATGTAAAAAAAAAAGTTCACATTAAACTAAAGTAGAACACACGTTTATGCTCCACTTACAATGTAGACCGAGCAACGTTGTTCCTGTTCAGGCTATCTGCTGAAGAACGCTGCTACAGCACCACTAAATACAGCAGCAAGAGTAGCAGCAAAATGAAGAGCTCCATCAGCGCGTTGACCACGTCACCCATGATGACAGATCACACAACTAATAAACAAAGGAAACAAACTTGACGCAGAGCGTTACCAACACCATCTATTCCTACCTCAGTCTCCATGTAGCCTCACTGAAGGAGGACCTGTCTGTGTCTGCCTGTTCTCTGTTTGAGGCGGTCACTAGGATGGTGTGTGACGGAGATAGTCTAGTCACTGGCTGGTGTGTGACGGAGATAGTCTAGTCACTGGCTGGTGTGTGACGGAGATAGTCTAGTCACTGGCTGGTGTGTGACGGAGATAGTCTAGTCACTGGCTGGTGTGTGACGGAGATAGTCTAGTCACTGGCTGGTGTGTGACGGAGATAGTCTAGTCACTGAGTGGTGTCCGACAGGTTTCTTTTTTTTTTTAACCCCTGCTAAATTCCCAATCTGACCATCTTCCATCACGGCCACCTAATCAACCCCTCCTCTCCCCTGTAACTATTCCCTAGGGTCGTGGCTGTAATGAGAATGTGTTCTCAAGACAAATTACCTGGTAAAATAAAAAACGATACAAAAAAAACTGGGCAGTATCTGACTGATAGCCTGGTCACTGGGCAGTGTCTGGCTGATAGCCTGGTCACTGGGCAGTATCTGGCTGATAGCCTGGTCACTGGGCAGTATCTGGCTGATAGCCTGGTCACTGGGCAGTGTCTGGCTGATAGCCTGGTCACTGGGCAGTATCTGGCTGATAGCCTGGTCACTGGGCAGTATCTGGCTGATAGCCTGGTCACTGGGCAGTATCTGGCTGATAGCCTGGTCACTGGGCAGTGTCTGGCTGATAGCCTGGTCACTGGGCAGTGTCTGGCTGATAGCCTGGTCACTGGGCAGTATCTGGCTGATAGCCTGGTCACTGGGCAGTATCTGGCTGATAGCCTGGTCACTGGGCAGTGTCTGGCTGATAGCCTGGTCACTGGGCAGTGTCTGGCTGATAGCCTGGTCACTGGGCAGTATCTGGCTGATAGCCTGGTCACTGGGCAGTATCTGGCTGATAGCCTGGTCACTGGGCAGTGTCTGGCTGATAGCCTGGTCACTGGGCAGTATCTGGCTGATAGCCTGGTCACTGGGCAGTATCTGGCTGATAGCCTGGTCACTGGGCAGTGTCTGGCTGATAGCCTGGTCACTGGGCAGTGTCTGGCTGATAGCCTGGTCACTGGGCAGTGTCTGGCTGATAGCCTGGTCACTGGGCAGTGTCTGGCTGATAGCCTGGTCACTGGGCAGTATCTGGCTGATAGCCTGGTCACTGGGCAGTGTCTGGCTGATAGCCTGGTCACTGGGCAGTATCTGGCTGATAGCCTGGTCACAGGGCAGTGTCTGGCTGATAGCCTGGTCACTGGGCAGTATCTGGCTGATAGCCTGGTCACTGGGCAGTATCTGGCTGATAGCCTGGTCACTGGGCAGTGTCTGGCTGATAGCCTGGTCACTGGGCAGTATCTGGCTGATAGCCTGGTCACTGGGGCAGTGTCTGGCTGATCGCCTGGTCACTGGGCAGTGTCTGGCTGATAGCCTGGTCACTGGGCAGTGTCTGGCTGATAGCCTGGTCACTGGGGCAGTGTCTGGCTGATAGCCTGGTCACTGGGCAGTATCTGGCTGATAGCCTGGTCACTGGGCAGTATCTGGCTGATAGCCTGGTCACTGGGCAGTGTCTGGCTGATAGCCTGGTCACTGGGCAGTGTCTGGCTGATAGCCTGGTCACTGGGCAGTGTCTGGCTGATAGCCTGGTCACTGGGCAGTGTCTGGCTGATAGCCTGGTCACTGGGCAGTATCTGGCTGATAGCCTGGTCACTGGGCAGTATCTGGCTGATAGCCTGGTCACTGGGCAGTATCTGGCTGATAGCCTGGTCACTGGGCAGTATCTGGCTGATAGCCTGGTCACTGGGCAGTGTCTGGCTGATAGCCTGGTCACTGGGCAGTGTCTGGCTGATAGCCTGGTCACTGGGCAGTGTCTGGCTGATAGCCTGGTCACTGGCAGTGTCTGGCTGATAGCTGGTCACTGGGCAGTGTCTGGCTGATAGCCTGGTCACAGGGCAGTGTCTGACTGATAGCCTGGTCACTGGGCAGTGTCTGGCTGATAGCCTGGTCACTGGGCAGTATCTGGCTGATAGCCTGGTCACTGGGCGTAATGCCTGCTTACATGTAGCAGTTGGTAGGTGAAGACTGACACACAGTGTGTGTGGCTTTCCCCAGAGGAAAGGAAGTGTGTTTCTGCTTTTCTATGCTGACACACAAGAACAGGAAGTATATCAACCGCCAACTTCCTGTGATGACACGCGCTGCACAAGCCGACAGTTACGAGTAACTTTAAAATGGCAGTGAACGTACAAGTCCTGAACTCCTCCGCACAACTCGTTTTCAGTCAGCATGAACTCCTCCGCACAACTCGTTTTCAGTCAGCATGAACTCCTCCGCACAACTCGTTTTCAGTCAGCATGAACTCCTCCACACAACTCGTTTTCAGTCAGCATGAACTCCTTCACACAACTCGTTTTCAGTCAGCATGAACTCCTCCACACAACTCGTTTTCAGTCAGCATGAACTCCTTCACACAACTCGTTTTCAGTCAGCATGAACTCCTCCACACAACTCGTTTTCAGTCAGCATGAACTCCTCCGCACAACTCGTTTTCAGTCAGCATGAACACCTTCACACAACTCGTTTTCAGTCAGCATGAACTCCTTCACACAACTCGTTTTCAGTCAGCATGAACTCCTCCACACAACTCGTTTTCAGTCAGCATGAACACCTTCACACAACTCGTTTTCAGTCAGCATGAACTCCTCCGCACAACTCGTTTTCAGTCAGCATGAACACCTTCACACAACTCGTTTTCAGTCAGCATGAACTCCTTCACACAACTCGTTTTCAGTCAGCATGAACTCCTCCACACAACTCGTTTTCAGTCAGCATGAACTCCTCCACACAACTCGTTTTCAGTCAGCATGAACTCCTCCGCACAACTCGTTTTCAGTCAGCAACAAGACAGAGGCCTGACAATGAGCAGTCCCATCTGGCACATGATCCTCCACTAACCAGACTAGAAGGTAGTGCATTATTTAAAAAAGGCCTCTCATCTCACCAGTAGGCCTACCAGACTAGAGGACAGATGCATTAACACTGCATGAGACATGTGTAACGAAACACCACACTGTCAAACAGATACAGTCGTATGAAAAAGTTTGGGGGCCCCCCCTCTGAGGCTGCATAATAAATTGACTCTGACGTGACAGAAAATGATCACAGTGGCATGACATTCATTTTCTAATAAATGCTGAGTACTGGGGTATTGTCCAGACAAAGATTTTTTAGCGTGGCAATATTAAGTTGTATGAAATTAAATCAGATGTGAATAATAGGCTATGCAAAAAATTTGGGCACCCTGGTCATTCTGTTGATTTGAATACCTGTAACTACTTAGCACTGATTAATTGGAACACACAATTGGTTTGGTGAGCTCATTAAGCTTTGAACTTCATAGACAAGTGCATCCAATCATGAGAAAGGGTATTTAAGGTGGCCAATTGCAAGTTGTTGTTCTCTTTGACTCTCCTCTGAAGAGTGGCAACATGGGGGCCTCAAAACAACTCTCAAATGACCTGAAAACAAAGATTGTTCAACATTATGGTTTAGGGGAAGGCTACAAAAAGCTATCGCAGAGATGTAAGCTGTCAGTGTCCACTGTGAGGAACATAGTGAGGAAATGGAAGACCACAGGCACAGTTCTTGTTAAGGCCAGAAGTGGCAGGCCAAGTAAAATATCGGAGGGGCAAAGGCGAAGGATGGTGAGAACGGTCAAAAACAGCCCACAGACCACCTCCAAAGACCTACAACATCATCTTGCTGCAGATGGTGTCACTGTGCATCGTTCAACAATTCAGCGCACTTTGCACAAGGAGAAGCTGTACAGGAAAGTGATGCGGAAGAAGCCTTTTCTGCTAAACACGCCACAAACAGATTCGCTTGAGGTATGCAAATGCACATTTGGACAAGCCAGCTTTATTTTGGAATAAGGTGCTGTGGACTGATGAAACAAAGATTGAGTTATTTGGTCATAACAAGGGGCGTTATGCATGGCGGCAAAAGAACACAGTGTTCCAAGAAAAACACTTGCTACCCACAGTAAAATTTGGTGGGGGTTCCATCATGCTGTGGGGCTGTGTGGCCAGTGCCGGTACTGGGAATCTTGTTAAAGTTGAGGGTCGCATGGATTCCACTCAATATCAGCAGATTCTTGGGAATAATGTTGAAGAATCAGTCACAAAGTTGAAGTTACGCCGGGGCTGGATATTTCAACAAGACAACGATCCAAAACACTGCTCAAAATCTACCCGGGCATTTATGCAGAGGAACAAGTACAATGTTCTGGAACGGCCATCCCAGTCCCCAGACCTGAATATCATTGAGAATCTGTGGGATGATTTGAAGCGGGCTGTCCATGCCCGGCAACCATCAAACCTAACTGAAGATGTTTTGTAAGGAGGAATGGTCCAAAATACCTTAATCCAGACACTCATCAGAGGCTACAGGAAGCGTCTAGAGGCTGTTATTTTAGCAAAAGGAGGCTCTACTAAATATTGATGTGTTTTTCTATTGGGGTGCCCAGATTTATGCACCTGTCTAATTTCGTTTTGATGCATATTGCACATTTTCTGTTAATCCAATAAACCTAATTTCACTACTGAAATATTACTGTGTCCATCAGTAATTTGATAGATCAAAATGAAATTGCTGATCCAAAACACCCAATTATTTATAAATGGAAATCATGGAGATTGTCAGGGGTGCCCAAACGTTTTCATACGACTGTACTATGGGTGACCAGGGGGCTCATTTATCAAAAGGTGTGTGATCACAATAAAGACTAAACCGCTAGCCAGTATGAGTAACCTACAGTATTGCTGTTGGATAGGATTAGGAGCATGATATAACAGCCTATTTAATCTCATAACAAGTGGCAAGGCAGGATATAGAAACAATCGTGTTACTCAACAACAGTTTGTATTTTGCATAGAAGTGTGGGCTACAGCATTAAACTTTTAAATTGTTCGAAAGGACAATCGCTCTTGCAGAATGTGCAGCCAGTGTTCGGCCCTCGGTAGGCAGCATGTGTTTTTTTGTTTGGTCAGTGCAACATTCTGCCCACGGCTCTACAGAAATGTGATAGAATTTGCCATCGGTCTTTCTTTTAGGAACAAATCATCATCTCCAAATCTAAACAGCAAACGAGGGCGTTTTTTGTTATCATAAAAAGGTGAATGGAGGGTGTTTTCCAGGCAGGGTTGTACCGCTCGTTTCATGACCGCTCAAATATAATATCAGTGAAAACGTGTATATGTTGTGTGCGACAGTTTGATAAATCCCAATCATTTGTGGCACGCGCAAATCCTAGAATCTCCACGTACACCAGAATTTGGTAAGACAGTTAAGCACAGTTGCTAAATGAGGACACACCCCGCTACTTGCCCGGCCCGTATACAGTCGTGGTCAAAAGTTTTGAGAATGACACAAATACTAATTTTCACAAAGTCTGCTGCCTCAGTTTTGATGATGGCAATTTGCATATACTCCAGAATGTCATGAAGAGTGATCAGATGAATTGCAATTAATTGCAAAGTCCCTCTTTGCCATGAAAATGAACTTAATCCCCCAAAAAACATTTCCACTGCATTTCAGCCCAGCCACAAAAGGACCAGCTGCCATCATGTCAGTGATTCTCTCGTTAACACAGGTGAGAGTGTTGACGAGGACAAGGCTGGAGATCACTCTGTCATGCTGATTGAGTTAGAATAACAGACTGGAAGCTTTAAAAGGAGGGGGCATCTGGAAAACACCTTCTCCGGAGAAGACAAGGTGAGCGCTACCATCAGTCCTGTGTCATGCCAACAGTAAAGCATCCTGAGACCATTCATGTGTGGGGTTGCTTCTCAGCCAAGGGAGTGGGCTCACTCACAATTTTGCCTAAGAACACAGCCATGAATAAAGAATGGTACCAACACATCCTCCGAGAGCAACTTCTCCCAACCATCCAAGAACAGTTTGGTGACGACCAATGCCTTTTCCAGCATAATGGAGCACCTTGCCATAAGGCAAAAGTGATAACTAAGTGGCTCCGGGAACAAAACATCGACATTTTGGGTCCATGGCCAGGAAACTCCCCAGACCTTAATCCCATTGAGAACTTGTGGTCAATCCTCAAGAGGCGGGTGGACAAACAAAAACCCACAAATTCTGACAAACTCCAAGCATTGATTATGCAAGAATGGGCTGCCATCAGTCAGGATGTGGCCCAGAAGTTAATTGGCAGCATGCCAGGGCGGATTGCAGAGGTCTTGAAAAAGAAGGGTCAACACTGCAAATATTGACTCTTTGCATAAACTTAATGTCATTGTCAATAAAAGCCTTTGACACTTATGGAATGATTGTAATTATACTTCAATATACCATAGTAACATCTGAGAAAAATATCTACAAACACTGAAGAAGCAAACTTTGTGAAGACCAATACTTGTGTCATTCTCAAAACTTTTGACCATGACTGTACACACCCTGCTACTGGCCCGGTCTTTATACACACCCTGCTACTGGCCCGGTCTTTATACACACCCTGCTACTGGCCCGGTCTTTATACACCCCCTGCTACTGGCCCGGTCTTTATACACACCCTGCTACTGGCCCGGTCTTTATACACACCCTGCTACTGGCCCGGTCTTTATACACACCCTGCTACTGGCCCGGTCTTTATACACACCCTGCTACTGGCCCGGTCTTTATACACACCCTGCTACTGGCCCGGTCTTTATACACACCCTGCTACTGGCCCGGTCTTTATACACACCCTGCTACTGGCCCGGTCTTTATACACACCCTGCTACTGGCCCGGTCTTTATACACACCCTGCTACTGGCCTGGTCTTTATACACACCCTGCTACTGGCCCGGTCTTTATACACACCCTGCTACTGGCCAGTGAAGGCTACACTGTTTACATCCCAAATGGCAACCTATTCCCTACATAG